AATGCATAACCTGACACAAATTCGACAAGTACTCTCGTTTGCACACGAATCTGGTATTAGCAAGAGACGCGAATGAACCCAGCTGAATCTCTCGTTTACCATGATCCGCTTCAACCTAATGTACTGTACCATGCTGCGTTATGTTTCAGTTGGTACGATTTTCGAGATACCGCAATTTGTTGTTGTCTAGACGTTACACGCTACTCATAATTTAGAGCAGTTTTCAGTAATCTTATGAGTAGTAGCGTTTTACATTTAAACGATAATATCATATAATATTTAATGAACGTAGGTAGATTTTCTCAAACTTGTATGTACAAGCACATACCATGCGCTTCAACCACCGACTTTTGTCTTGCTGGCCAATGCTTTGCCAACTGATCCACCATGTGAGATGGAGCTGGTCTCTCCCCCAGCCGTCTTCCTGCTTGGACTTCTCACTCCATTCGCTACAAAAACCCTTCAAACGTCAGCAAAGGTAGCTAAGCCTTCTATATTAAAGTAGAGATTCCATTCTATCAGCAAAGCCAGTCTGTACTGAAAAGCCAAGGAGCACTGTAAAGCTGTTGCATTCCTGTTGGGAATTATCAGCTGTGCGCATCTCAAGAAACTCAAAGAGTTCCGAACCCACGACTTTCTGACCCGTGACTGAACATTTAGCTTTCTGGCGACGAATGGTTGATCAGAAGTGTGATTAACTCTCACACAGGACGGAATACCACTCATCCTTTACATCACATGGTTCCGTAGTGACTGACTCATTGAGTGAGGACTTTCCAGATATATATATATATAATATATATATAATATATATATACATATATCAAATTGAAATATCAATCTCTGCAACGTCTAACCTTCTCGTGAATATGGGTGCTTACACCTAGCACACGATGGATCAATAAACTACTAAGTTCCAACTCTCAGACCTGGTTGCCCATGGACAAAGCTATCCATTATGCGCCCTTCAAATTCTGGTACAAGGCAATTATCTAACACCAAACTACCCGTGGTGCAATAAAGACACCATAATTCTTCCTGGCGGAATCTTCTCAAGCGTAAACGCTCCTCATGAAGGAGCTATTTGTACCGGACCCATCCACCTTGGAAAGTGAAGAAGATGCAACCCAGCTTAATCTCTCGTTTGTGATGTTCTCAGGCAACTGAATGTGCTGCATCAGGCCTCCTCATGTTTCAGTCGCTACGATATTCGAGATATCGCGATGCATGTATATCTTTGTAATTTACTACTCATAAGGTTGCTGAAAATCCGTCGACAGCCCACGATCGGTTTCGCCCTTCTTGGGGCTCATCAGGTAGGCGCAGTCCCCGGATTTCCGCCAACCTTATGTTCTGCTCGAAACCAAGTTGCACGAAATTAGCGAATATACACTCATTTGCAAACTAGGTTTTTTCGGGAGACTCACCTGGAACCCAGCTGAATCGCTCGTTTGTGATGTTTGCAAATGAGTGTAGATTCGCTGATTTCGTGCAAATCGGTTTCAAGTAGAACATAGGGTTCACGGAAATCCGTGACTGCGCCTACCTGATGAGCCCCAAAAATTGCGAAACCGACCGTGGGCTGTCGACGGATTTTCAGCAAACTTATGAGTAGCACATTACAATGTTTCCTATGATGATGGATTCGCTTCCATTTAGGAACTCCAAAATTAAATTCCACCAAGTCATCGACTGCAAGTTGATAGTGGATTGCCAGGTCATAAGGATGACTGAAAACCAAGCGGTCATATTTGTTTAATTTTTATCTATGTGGTTGATAATCAAGCCATTATTTAAGTCTCGAGGGAGTAAACTCCAAAGTGGACTGAAACACTCTCCATCGTAATACCGATTGACGTCAGTAGGGCTGTACGTCAGGATGAATCAGTCAGCGGTAACCGAATAGCAATCGATTTCTAGCTTATTTTCATTGTTGTGAAAAGACAGGTCAGATAGGTGAGGAAATGTCGTCATTAACGGCTCCCATAAGAGCTTAGCAGGCCGAATAAACTTCAAATCGTAAGGAGTCGTAATGATAGGGGCTGACATCAGTTATACGGTTAACCATGCTGCGCTGGTTCACGGATTTGCTGGTTGATTCACGAATGTAGCAGTCTCGGATAATTGGATAAGATGCGAACGTTCGTCTCACTCTTCAGATATCTGTTTTAGACATCCGAATACAACTGAGGTTCCGTCACCAAGATGCGGAAATCGTTCAAAAAGGGTTATCAAAAGTCAAGCTCCCACATTGAACCAACCCATTCGGGAAGAGATTTTGCAATTACACCGAGTTATTTCGAGATGAGGTGCACACTAGGACTTTGAAGAGATTTCTTGGCCTGATGAAGCTTTTGTGTCAAAAGCGAAACGTTGCCCAAATAAAAACTACTGTTACCTGCATGGGCAATTATCTCTATTCTAGTAACAAGCTCAGATTTCTTGCATAGGTTTTCCTTCGGACGAAAATAACCTCATTACAGTGAGAGAAAAACAATGTGACGTTCTCCAAGAACCAGGTATGTCAGTTTGTTACATTTATAGTCATAGGAATTCTTCAACCAACCAGGATGTGTTTGGGATCCCCGTAAATTCCATTCCAGACCGATGGAAGCTTGATTTCATCGTTCTGGTTGTACCGTCAGTCGTCTGCTTGTTCTGTTTGTCCGGCAATGCCAAAAGACAACATACTTTGGACTCACGCAACAGTATTTTGGCCAAGAAATGATTCAACCTGAAAAAATAGACATCTCGGCGTCACTGAATCGGCAGCCCACCTTTTCAGTCGCAGCACACTTCGGCATACTTGACCGTTAAATAAAGGCGAAAAAGGGCTGGGGCGAGAACACACCTTTGCTTCACTCTTGTGTCGATAATTAAATATTTTGACATAGTCCCACAGGTCCGTACCCGGACATTCAACCCAGTGCCAAATGCTTTCATGAGGTTAAAAAATTTATCCAGACTTCCAAACGTTCACAGAAGGATCCACAGCAATTCTCTAGTGGCTGCGTTGAAGGCTGTATTGAGGTCTATGAACAGTCTATAGATCCCTTCAATGCATTTCTCTAAAATTTATCTTGCGGGAAAAATGAAGCCAAATGTACTTTGCGTGGCTTGTAAATCTGCACTTTTCCTTACAAGCAGTCTCTTTCAGTACGCCATCGACTAGCCAATTGAGCAGGGCACATGCAGTTTTCTTACCTGCTACGTATAGAAACTGATTCCATAGTTAGTTGTCCGTCTTCTGTGTTAATTTCCCTTTATAAAAGGTAAATATCGCTACAACCTCAAAATCAGGAGGAACGCATTCTAACAACGTCATGTGCAGTAAGATGTAGGTTTTCTCTGCCGAGCCTTTAAACAGAGGCTTAGTTTGTGTACCGCATCTCCATCCCTTGACTTCATGGCCTGAACCAGAAAGTAGTGTGGCCTGACCTGGCCTGAGGGCCACCAAGAATGACAGGTGCTTTTCGAACAGAATAGGACTCTTGCATTTCTACAAGATCCCGACCAACATGGATGGTGCTCCAGAGATCACGAAGCCTTATTTGGGCGACTGAAGCTTGAGGATCAAACTTTTCGAGCCTGTCCTTCTTCAATGGAATACACTATCACTGCTTCCACCAGTATGGAAATACTGTTCGCCTGGGGAAACACCTTACCGTTCTCACATTGTTTCACAGCAAACAATGCGGACTCACTCCCAGACCACTTCGTAGTACAGCGTTCCGTAAAACAAGGCTTGAAACTCTGTCGACTTTGCTGACATGCCTGTAACCTAAGAAACTGAGATCTAGTCAATAAAATCTGCATGCTAACTTCAGTAAGGAAGTCCGACCACCAAAACAAGGTGCCACCTTTGGGTGAGTCAACCTGTAGTTGCTGTGGCATCTCGATTTTCGTACAAGCTGCGAGAGAAAAAGCCTATTTGAATTCAAGTTTACAACCTGATCTCCAACAAAGATTCGCTTAGGTGAAAGCATTACCTTTCGTACGGTTCGATGCTGCATGTCGATGAACTAAATCAAGGAAAAATACTTTGGGGATAAGAAGGTTGTCCGGTGTAGCTTCTGTGAAGCGTTCCCGTAATTTTTTCAGATGAGTTAATGCAGGCCATGCGGTTTTTTAATACAACTCGCATTTAGTGATGTGCTGAAATATTCTCCACCACAGTGCCATTGTCCAGACAGTACAATGCTCATTTCCTTTTTTTGAAAAAATGTTAGAAGCCGAGCTTCAAGATTTCATCAGTTAATAACACCTTTAATGACAATACCGAAAGATGTTACAGATCAAATACGGTTTAAAACCTGCTATCATGGCGAAGATAATCCGATTAGTCCACTCAAACAGCAAATGAATGCGAACTCAGCTGGAAATCTCCGTTGGTGGAAAGTGACAGCTAGGGACGACAACTGGAAGGCTTAGCAAAGGACCTGTTCGACTGAAGGACAAATGTCCTGTAACACTGTGTAATCGAATAGATCATCTTCGGAATTGTGTCTGGAGCCAAGCAACTTGTAGTAGAAAATACGGCTCACGAATTTCACGCGCAGTTACATTATTGCATTCGTTTGATATGATGCCAGGCAAGTTTAGCTGGGGATGCCCTAAAATTCAGGCATTATCCTAGGTCAAAGTTATAATGCCCTTTACCAGAAAGTTGAAAACTCCGCGCGCTCATTTTCATCGCCCAACCAACGGGGAATATTTGGTCAGCCTTGACCAATCAGATTCGAGATTAGTTGAACGGACCAACGGGAGTAATCCAAATCACTTCACTGCATAGTATGTTGGAATCAAAATTCCAGCTTGTGACTACGGAAACGTATCTGTGATAGAAACGTCAAAATCAGGAATTAAACCCTTGTTCTATTTTGGATTATATGGTGAAAATTTCACAGAATCGACCATCTGACCCGTGAACGAAAGTATATTCATGGTGGATTACGCTATAGGTTTGTAAATGAGTATTTCTGCAAGCGAGTTTATTCACAATGATTCCAACTGAGCACGGCTCGGATTCGGACACGAGTGTTGGTATGGAAAGCCGTAGCGGACAATTCAGAACAGGATCAGTAAGTGAGACCATGGAGAAACGGAAAAATGTTCTTCGCCGTCTGACTGGCGGTAGTTTGTACCAAGTACGTCATCGTGATCAAGGAAAATTGGCTGAAAACAGCCAGCTACGTTTTTCACCTAAGAAGAACACCGATCCAATCCAGTCACTACTTGGTATGGATGTTGATCTGGATAAACTTGCTGAGGAATCACTGGATCAGACTCATTCAAATGTGGCTCGAGCACGTCGCGCAAAACGTTACATGCGTTCGGCTCCGGCGGGTTTCGCCACAGGGAACTATTCAACTGCATTGGGTCCCCTACAAGAGAAGCATAAGCTGAACCCATTGGAACGTGTGTTTCTAGAGTCTGCTGAACGTGGGGATAAATCCACTCTGGCGCGATGTCTTAGTTTCAAGGACAAAGTCAACGTAAATTGCGTCAATATGCTAGGTCGCACAGCTATCCAAATCGCTGTGGATAACGAAAATATTGAATTGGTAGAACTGCTGTTACAGCAACCAGGGATTAAAATTGGTGATGCTTTACTCTATGCTATACAAGAAGGTGTTTATCGCATCGTAGAGATGCTTATCGATCATCCTTCGATTACTAAGGAGATGCTGGGTTCTTCTTGGCGTGAAAGCGGCGAGTGCTCAACGGCAAGTGAGGAAGAAAGTCATGACTTTTCTGCTGATATTTCTCCCGTCATCTTAGCCGCGGTTTGTAACCAGTTTGAAATATTACAACTCTTGTTGAACCGCGGTGCTCGTATTGAGGAACCTCATAAATCCTCATGTGATTGTGCTCGATGTTCTAGATTATTAGCTGAAGACCCACTGAAGCATACTCTTCAAAGAATCAACACGTACCGAGCATTAGCAAGTCCTGCGTGGATTTCACTTACATCACCTGACCCTATTCTCACAGCTTTTGAACTCTCATCGGAATTACTTCATCTAGCCTCTAGAGAAAACGAGTTCAAAGAAACATTCATTTCTTTGTGTGAACAGTGTCGGAAATATGCTTGTGATTTGTTGGACTTGTGCCGGGGTACCGGTGAGGTTGTTGCTGTTCTGGGGAAGAGTAACAATAGCGAAAGCGAATCATCATCGGACTCCGATGAGGAGATGGAAGATCCGTGTAAATTACACGGTCACGCAGGAGAGGCTAATTCCACAATTAATGAAGGAGCGGCTGCTAGTGTAGGAGAACGGTGGGATCAAGCGAACCGGTTAGATCCCAACGACTGGCGTAGTTTGGTCAACCGGTCTAACGGCTCAAGGAGGCGCCATTTGGGTTGGACGCGTCACGAGAATGGTGCGCATTTCAGTCAAGGCCAAAGTATTGAAAGTCAGCATACCGTAGTAGATGACCTAAACGATGATGGGAACCTCTCGGTGGCAAATTTCGCAGTGTCGAACAAAGGTCAGGAGGGAGTGAAACCCACGTCACTGAAAAAGGCATTTTTGACCCCTCCAGGTCCTCAAACACACGTCGATGACTATTCTGATAAACCAGGAAGGGAAGAGGTCCAAGAACACACACATGAAGAAGTGTCAAGAAAACTTGAAATAGTTGTTCCCACACCAGATTTTTACGAAGCCTGTCCAACTATCCCTAATAGGACTGATTCAAACTCAGATGACGGTGTGATGAGTTCGTTCTCTGGAGCCCAGTTAGGGCGGTCAAATTTGTTTTCCCAACCACGGAAAGTGAGTTTTGATCATGAGGTTGAGCTCTCTCGGAAGAAAGCTAGTACGAACTCAACCATTACCTCTAAGGCTGCATGCTGTGGCTGCCGCAGAAAACCTCGACGTCTGACAAAAACACCCAGCGATCCTGAGAAGAATGAGGAAACTGGCAGTGCAACAAAGGAACCAACTGTGATTTACTCTTTCAAGTTGGATCGACTTAAGTTGGCCATAAAGCATGAACAAAAGAAAGTGAGTCATCGATATATGAGTACTACTCATGGCAGATTTGTTTGGCTATACTATGTCCTCATGCGTTTACATATCTGGACTAGGATTTTACTACTAGGAGCTTACCAGCAGGTCATAACCTAAGGATGTTGTAGGGTAAATTTCTGTTGAAATCAAATAGTGTTTTTGACATTATATAGGAGGAAAACCTACCAAACTATTCATACGTTTCAATACATGGATGGAGAAAAATCAGCTAGGTGAATTGACTGCAGGTAGTTGCGGGACTTTCGGAATTCGCATTCACACCACTCTCGTTTGAACAGCTCTTTTTCTGACCTGGTACAATCAATCAAGTTGGTCCACAACAAGGAAGGGCTCGAATTTTTCGTTTTTCGGAACTATTTTGATGTTCGTGTCCTTGACCGTGCCGGAATTCGAACTGTGAACATCTGGCACACAGGGCAGGTATGCTACCACTAGTCCATAAGCTAGTGCTTGAAGTGGACTATCAAATTTTGATGTTCGTGTCCTTGACCGTGCCGGCATTCGAATTGTGAACATCTGGCACACAGAGCAGGTGTGCTACCACTAGTGCATAAGCTATTGCTTGAAGTGTGATCATTAAAATCATAATTGATAGCTTAAATGCCATTGGGTAAGTTTATCCATCAAGTTCATGGTTGTATTTGAGATGAGCTGCTGCCCAAACCTACACAAGGGCCAGGTACTATTCGCCCCTATTATTGATGGATGCTTCAGTGACGACCCAGAACCCACAAGACACTGCCGCCGAAGATGGTTTATCATTAAAATGCAAGCTCTGATAGACAATTAAAAGTGCAAAGGTATCACAAAACGACGTATTTGTTGGCAGGAATGTTAGACATGTTTATCAGTGTGCATTTTCGATACGGAGGCTGAAAACTCCGTTGATATACAACAGAGTGGTAGTGAAAGAAGAAAGAACAATGGATTAACGAGTCAATAACAAATATTCAAGAAATTAATGTATACCAGATAAACATCGGCTTGGCGAGTGATTAGTGGAGGGGATGACCAGTGTTGAGGATAATTTTGTGGGACAAATTGAAGATCGGTTTTCAACAGTCATGCCGGTGCATGTCAGAGAATTCTCTCTGTCATACACTTGGCTTGTGTTGATTGCACGGAAAAATTTGCTGAAATCTTCTGAAGTATCTTTCTCGTCTCTGGTCAGTGTGCTTGCTCATTTAGCACTTAATAGATTGATGAAAAAATGTTCCTCGTGCTCATATTCGCGTTTTTTTCCTCTCGAGCACACTGGATAGTTTCTTCTGTTAAGTATGTCCTGTGAGAGCTACCAATCAGCCACTGGTCACCTAACGGCCAGTTGTTCAAACTGCTAGCCGCGAGGTCGCACATCCAAATCTGCCTGTGAGGTGCGCAATGCTGGTGGAAAAAGTTGTACAGTGTTTGCCAGTGTTTCAGAACGGACTGGTTTCATTTACGGAACCAAATTTTGATTGAGAACTCCCAGATATCCTCCTCACAATACCAACAACCTAAGATTTTTAACGCTGCGAGAACGATCAAAAAAGACATGGTAGGATTATGAACAATGGAATAGTTGGCTATTTCATTTTAGGACGATTGCGTCACAACTGTGTCACGCGCTCACTCAAGTCACACTTGAACCGACAGTCTGGATAGGTAAACAGTAAACTAATTGAATTCGCAGCCCTTTCATATGGTCTCTCTCGGTTTGTTGTTCCCATCGGTAAATGGTATTGTTGTAATGGGAAGATAGGAAAAATCTGCTTCTGACACGAACGAAGTTGATGTGCAAACACTTTTGGACGCAATTACGCACAGTGCCACTTCGTGAAAAGTCGTGTTCAGATAGCGAACGTAAGTGATTTTAATCACAGTATCCTGCTTCACTCCGCATCGGTGTACACCGATTAAATACCCACGCACTTTGTGGTCAGATAACGATGGCGTTCCGTACTGCCGATGATAACCAAGTCTTTCTTATCATGATGGAATTGTCACGCACTTAAGTGAGCGTAGTACCAACCGACCGATTAACATACGTATTTTCTCCACATTTCTGATGTAGCTTTCAGGGTTGAACAATTTCTCAACTGTGTCAGTAGTGTTTCTCCGGAACGGTAGGCGAGAGAAAATGATCATTGGCGGGTACCAGGAAATCCACGTTGCTTGAGATGAAAGAATCTCGGCTTGATTATGTACTGGCTACTTTACACCCACAGAAAATGTATTCATAAAATAATCCTCGAGGCATGCGTCACTCAAGACATTTCGGACTTTATTTGGAACATTTGTATGCGATTAGTTGGCTTATTTTCCTCTCGTATAAACATCTTCGAGATAGTGGTACTGAGATTTTGTCTAGTTACTGAAGCCAGTCGACGCTAAAAAGGCGACAAACAGCAATTTCATCCTTTATGGGGGCCATAAGTAGTGTCCCCCTCACAAAACGTCAGGCAGCTTAGAACCCACGATTTAACCGTTCGATCGTGAGCGGCTGAACTGCAGTGTGATTACACAGGAGATAGCTTCGCCCATAGTTCAACTGCAGAAACCGTACAATGTGGTCACGTATTAACTGGCTCCTTAAGTGACGAATTCTCAGACTGAAGTTTCACCCACCTTGTGAAAGTATTCTTCATCTGAGCTACTTATCGACTGATGATAATGTGGAGAGATTCGATAATTCTCCATTGAGATTTCGTCCTCTCCGAAGCTGAAGCAAATGCAATTGTCCTTTGTTCGTGACGGCTTGCTTGCTCCCAAACATCCCTCAAAGAGAGAATTCATCTAGCCTTAGAGATACGGCGTAACATTTGGCTGTCAGAGGGATGCACACCACCCTTCGGAAACTGCGAACAGAGATCGTTTCTCCCCTGGTTTCAATAAGTATGCCAGATGACAACTGCTAGTAGCACATCTGTGATTTACATTTCTTGAATTCCATCGGGCATTCAGAGATGTTTTTCGTCAAGGATGTAATATACAGGGAAAATCTGGGAGCGTGTTTCTTAAAACTATCAAGAACACGACTCAGAACTCATATTTATGTTAAACTTTCTAGACTTGTAGAGAACAAAAGGCTTCGTTGAATATCACCGCAAAGGAATCCTGAGGTAGCCTGCTCGCTGTATATCATACGTAAGAATATCAGTTTTCTATACTAATGAGAAACAAACAAGTGTAGCGCACAAAGTCTCCACTTTAAAATCCACTAGTCAGGATCGGATAACCTCACTACCTAGTGGGAACGTTACGCATGTGTTGGAACTGTTTAACTCAAGAGTAAAGACGCAGCCGTTAAAAATGGCCCCTTGAGTTCATAAAAAAGAATGTTAACATTTCTAGTATTTCTTTGTTTGGGTCAAACTCATGTGCAGAATAAACCAGATTGGCTGATTCCTCCTAGTGACCTGTCCAAAAAAATCACATGACAGATGAGCAACTAGGAGAAATCAAACAAAAGTCTTTCTTTTCAAGGCCGTGTAAAAGGGTTGAGTTTTGAGATACTGAAGAGAGAAGATTATATTACAAACCATTTTTTGGTGGAAATACGAAATTCCAACTGTTGGGGACGTCAGCTGACCACTGTAAAGAAGACGAGACAAGTCTTGGCCAATTTGGAGGGTAGAAACTCGAGTGCGAAAATTTTATCACTCCATAAAATAGATGGACACCATTTAGCTGTCCATGGACAGTGAATTCCGTAAAACGACTGCGGTTTTACTCGCGCTCCATGTATTTTTCTCTTCATCCATTTAGAACGAACATCGGAAGCCTAACTAGTTTGATTTATTCCTATACATTTTCGATCAATTTGGACAGAGAAACCAATCGGAGACCACACGGTATTTCGCTGATTAACTCGACAATGGGTTCAACTCGAGATAACTCAGTGGTAAAGGCGCAACGGTCCGCGGATCGAAACCAACCTCTCAATCTCGACCGGTCCTGTCTAAGTTTGGGCATCCTGAGAGTAACTCAGCCCTGGTGCTTCCTTCGGGTAACATGGCAGCTAGGCACCTTAGGGGTGTTAAAACTGAAATATCACTATTTAGTATTTATTTAGGATCAATCAATCTTTCGTCGGTCAAATCAAACACTTTCTTAACAGCGGGGTCAACTAGAGTTGGTACAATATGTATAGACGTAATACACTACTCATAACGTTGCTGAAAATCCATCGACAGCCCACGACCAGTTTTGCCCTTCTTGGGGATCATTAAGTAAGCCCAGTACCCGAGTTTCCGTCAACCTTATACTCTACTTGAGACCAAACAGCACGAAATAAGTCAAATACACTTATTTGCAAACAAATTTGGTTTTTCGAGAGACTCACCTGGAACCCAGGTGAATCTCTCGTTTATGACGTTTTTAAGCAACATCATAAACGAGAGATCCAACTGGGTTCCAGGTGAGTCTCTCGATAACCCAAATTTGGTGCAATATGTCTTCCGCACTAAGCCGTCGTGCAATTCTGATTATTGTCTCATTTAACTCACATGATAACGCAGCCATGATCGACTGCTAAACACTCTCTCACCAGTGGTATCCTCTAAAATGCAGCAGCACTCCAATATGTCCTGTGCTATGGGAAACCAGCCAAGCATCGCTTTTAACCGAAATAGCCCTAGCAATAAAGTTCTCTCTCTTAGAACACCACTCTGCCCGTCCAAGTGAAGAACACACTAAAGAAACCAAAGAATCGAATGGCGCTTCATCCATTAGTTTCTTCAAGCTTCCTTTGATTTGCAGCACAGATGATGGAAACTGAGATCACAAACAAAATATGTCGATTTCTCGGAACATTTCTTGAAGGAAAGCTGCTCATGAGGTTTCTGAAAAATCTTCGACAGCCCACGACCGGTTTCGTCTTCCTTGGAGCTCATCAAGTAGGCTCAGTCCTCAGTAGGCTCGTCAACTTTCTGTTCTACTTAACCCAATTTACACAAAATTAGCGAAATACACTCACTTACATAGCAATCTGG